TCTGACTGAAAAACAAAGTGGAATCACCAGGGGATTCTACATTTTCGTGCAACACTGACTTATTGTATTGGGAAGAGTAAGTACTATACATGCACAGACTGAATCACTGTGACTGGAATGCCCTCTTATACTGAAACCACACAGCATTCAATGGAAAAGGCAGCATGTTTACACTGTGATGGCTGTCACATTGTTTCTATTATTGAACATGTTGTTAATAATCTGCCAGAAGCCTGAGGATTAATGTGAGTTTTTCCTTACAAAAGGGGCTGTGATTCGTATGCTCTTTCAGAGTTATGATTCCTGCCTTTCCTCATCAGTTGAAGGACAATCTGCAAGACCTTGTAGAAAGCAACACACTTGCTGGACTGTTCTATATTTCTGATTTTAAAAGGGTTAGGGCTGCAGGACTCCAGACTGCAAGCCTCAGAGGTGGTCTTACCTGCAGAGCAGTGCTGAGGGAGAGTCTGTTGCTTACTGGGAAACTAAGAGAGAGGAGTAGAAGAAACATAGTTGACACAGGTATTATAAACGGAAAAAAGCAGACAATCTGTGAAAACTGGGCATTATCCAGACTGGTCCTTTTAATCATATAGTGATTTATTAAAAGGCCCTACGATATGTTAATAGTTTGACATAAGTTTTCAAACTTATGAAACTTTATCGCATGATCATATATGATCCTCCTGTCTGTTCAGCATGTTCAGCTTGCAAGATGATCACTTCATCATATCTGAATCAACATCTATGTGCATTTATGAAACCACAGAAAATAAATGAGAAAAAACAAGAATGGGTATGTGAGATAAACAGTATCCATGCTTATACTACAATATTCATTATATATTACAATATATTGCTTATATTACAATTTACCAGGGCCAGGGCAATTCCCATTCCAGCTAAGGGGTAAATATAATTTGTGGCATACCACAGGGGTCTGTGCTGGGACCAAAGCTCTTTCTGACTGATATCGCTGAGCTGGATGCTGGTATCGCTAGTAAGTTAGTCCAGCTGGCAGATGCTACGAAATCAAGAGGGCAAGCGAGCGTTGACGCATCGGGGCTCACTGACCTCTGACCTCCAGCTTGCACTCCACCAAAGCCTCCCCCCGTTCGTTGACGGCCTTGCAGGTGTACACCCCTCCATCAAAGGGACAGGGCTTCCGAATTTCCAGGGTCAGCACCCCCTGTTTACTGAACATCCTGTACTTGGGCTCGTTGCTGATGTCCATTTTGTTCTTGTACCAGGTCACTTTAGGCTGGGGGAGGGTGGGAGCAGGGGAAACAGGGGTTAATTTTTAAAACAATCACAAGGAGATGTGAGTCTGCTCCTGCTGGAGAGTTTAATTTTAAGCGCACTAGATTGCTGGGCAGGGCCTCTGGACATTGTAAACCATCCACCCACCCTTCAGGGTGGCAGGGGAGCTGGAGCCCATCCTGGCAAGCAATGGGCCAGGGCAGGGTACACCCTGGATGGGACACCAGTCCGTGGTATGGGCACACTCACACCAGGGCTAATTTTCCCACCGCTATGCCTTTGAACTATGGGAGGAAAAGGGAGCAGCTGGAGAAACCCCACATGGACATGGGGAGAACATACAAACTCCATACAGGTAGCACCCCAGGAATTGAACCCAGGGCCCCAGAACTGTGAGGCAGCAATGCTAACCCTGGTGTCCTGGTTAAGTTCTGATCTGGTCTTGTAGAATTTGGTCTCCCTTTAATTCAAGCAGTGAAACAACTGCTCACTTCTCCACTGAATAATGGAGGCTGCTGGCGCATTATGGCCCAAAGGTATCCTTTGGGATGAAAAGCGCTTTATGAACTCGGTTTCTCATCATGGTTATTATTAATTAAGACGGTTTACCTTGGGCGAGCCTCGGACAGCACAGCTCAGAGTGGCGTTGTAGCCCGAGATCACTGAGCGGTTCACCAGGGGGTGAGTGAACTTGGGGGCTTCACTGAAGTCATGCTCCTTGTAGACAGGTGGTTTATACACAATCCCTGAGAAACACCCAAAATGCAGGTCAAAATAAACGGCAGAGGAAGAACCACTCCATCCTAACTTGTTTTTCCCCTCCTGCAATCTCGGGTTTTCCGACAGTCTGGGAAACCTTCGGTTCTCAGACTTTCGGTTCAGCTTCTCTCCTTGCTTGTCACGCCAACAAAAGAGTGGCAGTAAAACCTACGGCTCTGGGATGGTAACCGGCGGGCCTGGACTCCACTCCATCCCAGAATCCCCCTGCAGGGAGAAGGCCGCCGGATTATAATTAAGAGGGACCTGCCTGTCTTCTGGATGTACGCGCTGTCCTTGGACACGCAGGGCTCTTCACTGAGGCCACACAGGTTCGCGGTGAAGACCCGGAAGATGTACTCGTTGCCCATGATGAGGTCCGACACAACGCAGTTGGTACGGCGGTACTGCTCGTAGACCGTGAACCACTCCTGTCGCGGGACAAGCGGGAAGCAGCTGCCGTTAGCATAGGCCTGAGCAGGGAGGGTCTGGTTTCTACAGAGGAACTCCTTCGGCACTCCAGACCCAGCCACCAGCAGGTAAGAAACACATTTGGCTTGCGCCCGTTTAGTTTGTGTTGTCCAAGTGCACAGCCTGGATTAAGACCAAATTAACCTTGTGCCAGCTGGCCAGTTTCTCCTCTCCTACCTGCTTTGAAGAACAATCCTGCTCAAAATAAATAAAATAGATCAATCCTGCTTATCTGGCGTTTTTAATTTGCAAAAGACAGCTGCTGCCTCTACATCGGTAACCTCTTAGCACGTACATGTATAGATTTATAGATTACAAATCGGCTGTAAACGCAGACACAATTTGGACCAATGTGCCAGAATTTTCCGTGCAACTGGATGATGGCGATTTCAGAAAAGTTGCGTTAGTCTGACCAACAGCTATCGCAGTTGACTTGAGGCTCCGTCTCTTATCAGAAAGAGGGTGAACTCCAGCGAGGGTTGCACCAGGCCCGAGCCTGTCACAGAAGCCCAGGGTTTAAGGCTCGACCTCACACGAGATAGGTCACAGGGCACACATGCGTGCAGGAAGAGAACGTCAACCAATTTACCCAGCCCTCATGCTTTGTGGAGACTGGAGGAAACCAGATTAGACTTAGAAAACCCATGTGCCTAAGGAGAGAACATACACTCCACACAGAAGGTCCCCAAGTCGAGAATTGAGTCTAACAGCCAAGACCCGCGAGGCAGCCGTGCTAACCATCACAACACTTTCGTCTATGGCAGACTACGACCTAAACTACAGCATAGGCAGGGTTGAAGCATGTTGCAAACAGCTGTAGAACATCTAAAATTGCAGTTCTAATTAACTAATTGCTATTTGAAACGTGATAATCATAGAAGTAAAGTCTAGGCATTCCTGGTATTTAGATGAATCCAGGCTAATGCAGCCTGGATTGAAATACAAGGCAGGAGGAAATGAGCTGAGCTCAGAGAACCAGCTGGACACTTTCAAAGTGTTTAACCTTCCAGTTTAAAAAGTACAGTCAAAGTCACTCTTTTGCAGGCAGCTCGTAAATTTGCCAAAGGGCAGAAGCTAAGATTAGAAAATCGGCGTCCGCTGGCGTGCCTGGAGCTGAGCCAGGCAGGTTGGACACAGCTGGGCTCCAGAACACATTGTTCAAGGGAGGTATTCACTGGGCATCTGAGTCACCAAGGAGGCTAGGATACCTTCTGCATCTGGTGGAAAGTCAAGAGCCCATTCCCATTCAAAACTACAGCATAGCACACATACTGTACCGCCTTCAGTTCAAGCTTTCCATTGGTTTGCCCCACATAATAAACTCAGAGAAGTAGGGCTTAGTTCAGTGTTAGTTCCATGATGAAGGCTTCTCAGTGAGGTGTCTGTCTATGACAAGGTAAAAGACGGATCCTTCCCGCAATAAGTATTTGCAAACCTTCAATAGCGCTGAGATGAGAGGGCCCCTATTTTATCCAACCTGGGTATTTCCAGGTTTGGAAACTCCTGGACTAGAAGGAAACCTCACCAAGCACTTACTAAAGATCTGGTACAAAAACAAGAAAGTTGCACATTGTTCAGCTTCGGTATTGCCAGATCACACACACACATATATTCATTTCTGGTTTTAAAGGGGCACTGCAGTCCCAGTCTCTCAGTGCAGTTATTAAATCTTGGTAACAGAACAAATTAATTGACAGTATGGAAACAATTTACAAATTCTGAATCGAGTGGTTTGAAATGCACTTATCAATGCTGATTCTTTCTAACTCTGAGATATGAAAATAAGCATTTCACTTCCCCAGCTGTGAAGCACTGTGTGACTGGTGAATAATGAGTAATCTGGTGCAAACTGACTGGGCCCAACTTGTCTGCCCTTTCGAACCCTCACCATGGTCTTCTTATCGGCCTTCTGGATGGTGTAGCCTGTGATCTCCATGTTGCCGTTGTCCTTCGGCGGTTTCCACTCCAGAGCCACATTGAAACCCCACACATCTGTGATCTTCAGGTTCTGGGGAGGGCCGGGCTTGTCTAGGAAATATCACCGCAAGGCAGGAAAAGCTCTGTCTTATTGTGAGGAATCTCCTTTGCAAAAGCCACGCAACGTAGGCATGTAACATTTTCCAAGTCAGCAAAATTTTAAATTTACAGCAAAGCCAGTATTAACTTGTACCATTTCAGACATTGTACAATATCAGAATATCTTAACATTTGTTTAAATCCGTACTGTAAGTGCCTCATACTCTCTCATATTGTAAATGCCCAACATTGTTTTATAAAACAATTTTTGGTAATGATAAAGGATGGGCCTTGTATTTATTTGGACCATTATAACACTGGTACTTTTCCATACATTATCGGAAAGGTTTTTATTCCCGGCAATCCAGAGACTATCCTGGAAGCACAGAGTTGCAAGGTGGGCTTATAACCTGGACAGGGGATCAGCCCCTCACAGGGCACACGCAGCTCCTGAGTGGTTTCTTTTTAACGGCTTCTGCTATGCAGTCTGTGCAGTGTGTGCTCTCAGGCTTCTCCTTGAGCTCAACCTGCGGAGCTCCAACACAACTAACTTTGAAGGTCGAAGGTGAATCCCAAAATATAGCTTGTCAACAGCTTGAGCCCCTGTTGTTCAACAATTACCATCCATAAACTGCTCAGCTCAGCTGGTGCGCTCTTGTTTGTGTCCCTCAGCCACCTGATAAAAGTACAGCTGTCTTTCCCACAGTGACAGATCAAACACAGGCACATGAAAGGACAGAACCAGAGGAAAAGGCCCCTGTGTTCTCTGTGATTGCAGCTGCATCTAACAGCTTCTCTAGCTTTGTGGCTTTAGTTCATTAAACATTGTGGGTTTTTGCCTGTGAGCACAGATTATATAGAATTCTACAGGAAGGGAACAACACAGTACATAGCCTACAAACTGAAGCAAACAGTTGCAGCATGACAGCAGCCTTTTCAATACATGTTGTAAGTAAAGCAGCAGCTGTCTAATAGAGAACAGGAGCCCTGTGACTTACCCACAACTTGAATGTTGATGGTAGCCTTGTCCTCCATGTTCTCAATCTGCACCTGCAGCTCATAGTTGCCCGAATCTTTGCGGTCAGCTCGGCGAATGAAGAGGATGGTGTCCGTGTCGCTGTTACGGACGCTGACCTGCTTAGGGTCCAGGGCCTGATCGTCTTTTGTCCAGGTGACCTTTGGCCTAGGCTTGCCCTGTGAGGATTATATACCGTAAGGCCCGACATCCAAGTCTCAGTTAATCGTACTCAACCAACACAGGTCACAGTTGGCCATCCGCTGCTTCTGTTTGGAAGAAAAGCAGGCTGTTCGGAATTACATCCAAAAAAAAACCTTAAGATGCACACGAGATACAGTATGGTACCAAATAATAAATAGAAAATCATCATAGTAAACGCCTGTACAGATGACACACTAAAGACGATGTCTGAAGCTTATTTTTTAGGTGCTGTGAAAAGAAAGGTGATTTTGTATTTGGGTCCAGATGGGTGTGATATTAGACCTTGTGCACACACGTACACACACTAACCCCTCCACGATCTCATTCAGACTCCCTGTTTTGCCGCAGTGCATGTTGTTGGCTGAAAGTGTCCGGAGTGTGAACATCTCATTTTCCAATTAAAATAGCTGCAACACGTCAAGAAGGTGACACTCCCTTCCCTGCCTGCATGGGGCCAACAGCAGCCATGGCAGCTTCTGTACTGTGGAACACCGAGCTCCCTACACCAGCTGCCAAGAGAGGTGCCTGCAGCGCTTGCCATCTGCTCAACTGGGCTGCTTTCACGACAGGGCCGCACCCGAGCAGGGTCTGCAACTCACTGGTATAATGACTGAGATACAATGAGTCTGTCGTAGAGCACCGGGAAATCTTGGTAAAAACGTGGTAAAGCCCAGTCAGTGTGCTACAGTAACTCGCGAGAGATCTGGAATAAAAAGTGACAGAGAAAAAGAAAAGCCAGGTGGATCTGCAAACTGGACACAGCAGAGCTCTGAAAGCGTGTTCCAGCTTCCATTCGAACTCTTTTCCATGTTCGCAGATTGGTGAGGATCCCGGACTTACTTGGGACTTTTTGTTGCTGTACTGAATGTTAATGTTTTATTCTTTCAAGCATGCCGAGATTGAAGAACTGCTATCCCCTGAATGACAGAGCTTTCACAGGCACTTATGCTCCTAAGACAATGCCAAGCAAATGTTTAGAGACGAGCCTCTTCCACTGATCTTCGCTTTGCTGTAAATCTGTCCTTTCTGATGGGTGTTGTGAATACCATGCCTTCAGCAGCTACGGACTTCATTTCATCAAGAGGAAGGGAAGATGGAAGCACAAGTAATCAATACACCTCTGCATGTGTTACCAGGGATATGATTACAGGGTCTGAGGTCCCTTTATTTATAGCTTGCAGAAAGCACAACTCCTCATATATCACACATGGTAACTCTTGTCAACAAAATTGCCTGGGATTGAGTTTCTGCACCAAGCAAAATCTAACACCGAAATTGATTTGAGGTGTTTGGGTCAAAGATTAAACAAAGACAAGCGCCCAAGCCCCTGAAAACGGACAGTTTGATATTATGAATATCTTCCACTGGTTGGCCTGATCCCCTTCGGAGGTTTTGCATATTCACATCTGATACATATGGGAAACCACGAGGCCCTGGGAAAAAAAAACTCTGAGCCAGAGCCTGGCAAAGAAAAAAAAACCTAACAGGGCCTGTATTTACAGCTGTGTTGAAGAGGGAGCTTATGATGGCATTTTTATTGGTTCCGAACTGAAATCCTGTTAGACGTGATTTATCTAAATCTGAAAAGAATTGAAGACACAGCGCTGATTACAAAGTGGATTCCAAACAAACACACACAGGCTACTTTCCAGTCCTGTTCCAATCAAGTTTACCACCTCCCCCAGTCTTTGATAACACCATATAACGTCACACGAAAGACCTTTTCAGAGCTCAGCTTACCTGGAAAGGAATTACGATGTTGACTGTTTCTCCAACCTTCTTGATCAGAGTCTGGCGCAGGCTTCGAGGAATCCAGATTTTGGGGCGTTCTGTAAAAAAGAGCAGGAAAACTTACAAATGAGAGAAGGCCATTCAGTTTAACTTGCCCATGCAGTCATAGCTACTGTAGTAGCTAACTGATACAAGGATCTCATCCAGTTAGTTTTATTTTTAAGTATTTCTTTTTAAGATTATTTATTCATTATTATTTTAAATTGTTTAGTTTTTCTCTATGAAGTAATACAATTCTTCAAATCAACCTGGAACAGATTTATTCAGTTATGCAGTAGTTTCATTCACAGGACAATAATCTAGTTGGCCCCGCTGATGTAAAAGTACACTGGCACAAAGTGCCAAAGAAATGTGTCAGTCTAAAATGTTTTTTTTTTTTACAGGGTGGAATTCTGAGCCTTAAATGTTTCATTTCCTTGTAATAGGCACGCTCTTTCAACTAAGTGGGAGACTGGCCCTGCTCAATGGGCGAGGTGTGAGGGCTTTCTCTAAAGATGACTCTATTACAAGCACCTAAAATGTGTTGACAGGTCATCAGCAAAAACACAAGAGCTTGGATGAACATCAAGACTCTGAATGAGCTTATTCTGGCTTTGCTGATATGTGCCAAAAATTAAGACTCAGAGGACTCCCATAGCTGAACCCAAAAGCAGAGTCCTATATACTGTAAGTCTGCTGTCACATCAGATTCAGTTTCATTTACCACACACTGTTACGTTTCCTAAGTATACTTCTGAGTCCCAGCAAAACTGAAGTGTTGGCATTGACTGTCCTGTCAATGGCTGGCTCTAAAATAAATTGGGACATCCATTAACTGCTCAACTATCTCGTGTCTGAGTGAGCACTGTAATTACGTTGCTAAGTGTTAATACAGATGTCGTGCGTACAATAATAAGTTTATACTCGACAGCAGTGGCCTCCAGTTCTGCTCCTTCAAGTGCTACAGATATCAGTTAAGATCGCATTTAGTTAACGAAGTCAAAAACTGGCAGTGATTAAAGGCTTAGATGTAATACAGATTAGCTGATCCACAGTTTTCTAAGACTAGGTCTATGAGCGTCACATATTATACCCCTGAGAAATGATATATGCATACAGTTTTTATACTGACTCAAAACCTTCTTCATTTGGAGGGACTTTACTTAACTGGTTCTGTTATTTACCCCTGTACCCCTGGGGTACTCTACTGTCTCCTCTCATTGTGCATATCTTGATCTTTGTTTTTGTTGTTGTCGCACTTCCAGAAGCCACTTTTAAAGGTGCTATATAAAATACAGTTTATAATTATCGTTATTATTATTATAACGTGAATATATTGTACTTCTTCTGCTGTATATCAGAGCCCTTCTTCCTTACAGTTTTAGCTTTAGTTGTTAATGGCACGATAACCATAAAATAATGACTTGGCAGTGACCCTGCAATCATTATCCAGTCATTATTTTTCAAGAAACAGCTGGATTTCATATCAATTTAGCCATCTTATTTGCAGCCATTCTTACTCTCCAAAGCAAGAGCAGTGCAGTGCAGAGGGCCCATCAGAAAATTACAACTGCAGCGTGATAATCAGCAATATTGTCAACGTTCTAAATAAATGTATCTGAAATAAGATAAAATGGTCGAAATGCTAACAATGTCACAAACAAAGGGAAGTTAAAATGAATTTTTAAAGTGTCATGTACTGGGAAGACAATTTGTACCATTAAAACCTCAAAACTATAATAATAATAATAAACTTTATTTTATATAGCGCCTTTAAAGGTGGCTTCTCAAAGCACTTGTCAAAGAAACTAGTAAGAAATCCTTCCTATTACTGGCTAGTGCAATGCAATGCAGAAATTCGAATGGAATGATTAATTATTGTATGCTTTTCTTTAAGGAAGGTAGTGGATGCATCATAACAAGATCCTGCTGGTCTGGCAGGGATACTTTATAAGGTGGGAACAGCAGCACAGAGACCCCCGCCTCCCCGTGTGGTCAGTCGAAGGGCTCGGAAGCAGATTCGTTTCACAGTGAGCTGGAAAAACCGCTTGGACGCTGAATAGACACATCTCTTGCAAACTGCAAATTGCACTGCAAATGGAGAGCGTCTGTGTGTCAGCTGGCGCACCAGCGAGCCCTGCTGGCGTCCAAGAGGGGCAAGTTGACGGCTGGAATATTTTTCTAATTAGGTTAATGTTCTGTCCCACCTGTTGGGGTGTCTCAGGCTTGTGTCCCGGGCAGTGGAAACAGCAGGGGGTTCTCACTGCGACTGGACAGCGACAGGTGGAGCACTGACTGACAAGCAAAGAATGCACTGAAGGGCAACTTTCCTAATCTGCCATCATCCCCAGGAAGAGGTGGCCAAGATACGGCTTGTTATCCCTCTTATCCTTCAGGATTCTCCCTCTCCGGGCTGCTCGGTGCAGACACTCTTCACAAACCACTACACTGTTACTGCAGCTTAGCTCTTTTCTCACTTCAGAAAGGCCTCAATGGACAAGACCTTGAAACAAAGCATATTGATACAATACTGGAGTGACAGACAAGCTACAGTTCTTTCACAGATTTACTACCTCTCCGTTTCCAGAACAAAATCTTTAATGTATCCAGTACTTGGATTTATCATTTAAGCCCTTTCGTATAACTAATTTAGATCTAGTTCTTGGGCTTTCTTCATTAAAACTCATCATTAACACTTTTTATCAGTTGAGGATGGACTTTATATTAATTAAACACACTGCCTGTGAAACTCATCTCGCGCCTCAACTGTAATAAATGAGATGTTTTGAAATTTGACAGGCCTGCTGCTCGGCGACTAAAAACGAAGGAATAATATGAAAAAGTGTCATAACAAGGACTGACCAATCAGCCTCAGAGGGCAACAACAGGAAGCACTTCCTTCTGCAAAGGATTGTGGGAGCATGGGACAAGCCTCCTGGTCTTCTTGTCAGTGTCTATAACCTGGTTTCTTCCAAGATGTGGCTGGATGGGATCCTCATATCAATTACTAACTACCAAACGACCCAGGTGGGCCCGATACCTTCTCCTTGTTTATAGGTTCCCATGTCCGGCTGTTACATTTCTGTTAAATGTGTCGCAGTGCGAACTAACTGGGGGGGGGGAGTCGTTCGACGTCTTACGCATGATCTCCCGGATGGTGACGGGCTGGGAGAGGGTAGCGGGGGCGCTGCTACCCGCCACGTTGACGGCTCGCACGCGAAACTGCATCTTCTCCCCCGTGGGGAGATCCCGGATGATGACGGAGGTGCGCTCCGTCAGGCCCTCGAAGGCTGGCACCCACTCGTCAGCTGCACGGCAGGGCAGAGAACAAGGCAGAGAACATGCAGGTCACTTTGCCACTCTCCTGAAGCGCCCACACACAAATAAATGCTGCTTAGAAAAGTCTTGCATGATGCCGTTTACAAAGAGTCAAGAGGGTTTGTAATTGCAGAGAGGAAAGTGTGCAGTCTAGTTCAGCATGACATACAATTCTCAAGCAGCTCAAGATTTTTTCCGGTTTTAGCAATCTATTGAAATGATCCATCCTTCGATTTTCTGACCATTTCTTCCAATTCAGGGGTGTGGGGGAGCCGGAGCCTATTTCAGCAAGTAAGGATGCCAGTCCATCACAGGAGACGCACGTTCAACCAGGGCATATTTGCCCATTAGCAGCCATTTACCCCACCGGTATGTCTTTGGACTGTGGGAGGAAACTGGAGCACCAGGAGGAAAGCCACAGAGAGGAAATACAAATGCAGACACCCAAGGAAATCAGCACAGGGCCCCAGAGCTGCAAGGCAGCAATAATAAACACCGCCCCAGGCTGCCTTTGTAGGAACCTTTTGGTATTAACTGAAAATGCAACTGCTGTAACATGACACTAAAGCAGAAGCTGGAAGGGGAAACCATTCAGTCGCTTAATAATTTTACAGATGTTGGACTTTGATCAAGGTTGTAAGCTTTGTAACCCATTTTCTACATCATCTCAGTGTAGGTCTTTGTCACGGTTATCTTCTTAGTTTTACACTGTGCTGGGTCGGTTATGCTGTGGTTTCCTCTCACCGTCCAAAACCTTGCAGGTAGGTTAATTGGCTTCTGGCAAAATTGGACCTTGTGTGAGTGTGTCTGTGTGTGCTCTGTGATGGATTGGTGTCCCACACAGTGTGTACCCTAGCTGCGCCCGTTCCTTGGCAGGATAGACTCCAGCTCCCCTGCGGCCCCTAAATGGATCAAGTGGGTAGAAAAAGGATGGATGGATCCACTATCAGTCAAGCACTTAGCATGCTATTGGTGCGAAAAAACTGCAAAGGGGTGGCTTGGAAGGAGTGATGTTTGACCTCTCTGCCCAGTCACACACATCACTTGCACACAAGAGGAATGGTAACTCACAGCCTTCTTTGCAGTACTCCACAATGTAGCCATCCAGGCCAGCTGAGCCCAGCCTCTCTGGGGGTCTCCACTTCAGGGAAATGGTGGTGTCGCTGATGTCATCGATGGCCAGGCCTGTGGGCTCGCTGGTGGGAGCTACGAAAGGAAAGGCAGGCCTTGCTTAATTAATATAGAATTACCCATTATCTGCTTTATGCTCAGCCCCGATTAGGAATCGCTGTGTGTGTTCATTACATCTTGGCTTGACACAACGAACCCTGTGACCGCACACAGGAGAGTGAGGAGGCGTGGCCCCTGAGCCAATCGTCTTTTTACACGTCACTGGCAGCACCGCCCCCTGTTGGAGCTTGAGTGCTGATTGGAAGAGAAGAGCGTCCCTCCCGGCCAGGAACGCGAGCCTGCAGGCTTCACTGACAACTGAGAGATGGCCAAATAATTGTGTCAATCCCTAGGCAATGTGCTCCATTCCTGAGGGAATCCCGATCACTGTAGTGAAATGTCCCAGACTCTGACATGCAGTCAATCCCAGAGCTTAGCTCGGGCAAGCTCGCCTTTACTGGCTGCGCCATCTGGACGGCCTCAGAGATTGTCTCTTTACATTCTGTGGCCTGCGATATATTTTTTTGGGGGGTATAGGTGCTTTCATAGCCCGGTACTCCCCAATTCCATTTGCAAACCGAGGTACACATGCTTGAGCATCGACTGCTTTGGTCACCTGCACAGTAAAAGACGTCCCCTAGTGAGCTTGCCCAGTGTAAGGGATATCGCCCACTTGCTGAGCTCATCAGCTCAGGAGGGGGCATGCTTTGCCTGTGGGTTGGATGACAGCCGGCTCCCCTGCAGGAAGAGCTCACCCACCCATCAGGAGATACAATACAGTATGTGCGCAGTGAGATGTGCCACTGTGCAAGAACAAAATCCCTTAGCCCCAGGACAGCTGAGCTGAGTTGGAGGACACTGTCAAACTGACTGTACTTAATAATAATAATAATGTAATAATAATGTTTCTTTATTAGCCCTACACAATTTCTTGCATTAGGAATGCGTCTTTTCACATACCCCAGCTTTTCTCTATGGAGACACAGACACAGAGACAGGGAGAGAAGCTTGGGGTCAGAGCACAGGGTCAGCCATTGTACGGCGCCCCTGGAGCAGTTAGGGTTAAGGGCCTTGCTCAGGGGCCCAACGGAGTAGGATTCCTCTGCCGGCCGCGGGATTTGAACCGGCAACCTTCCGGTCACAGGCGCAGAGCCTTAACCACAGAGCCACCGCTCCGCCCCCTGAAGGTGAACTTTACAATTCACCTTCAAAGCTCACCTCACTTGTCCCATCATTATCGTCAAACCAGGTGTGAGACAAACAGTATCAGCAGTGTAGACATGGGCTACATTTAATTTGTGCTCAAAACGCTGCCTGATCTCTTTCAGAGTAAAATGTGGCAGAACTGGACACATTTGAGGAAACGTGAAAACAGAAGCTTACAGTCTTCCCTTCATGTACAGCTCTAACGTGTAAGGTGAGACACGTGTACTTTAATAGAGAAACGTTGCTGGTCTCTTCCAAGATATGGTTTATGTTGCAGAAGGTATCATTCCAAAAATGTCAAAGGAGGAGACAATAAAAGGCCCTTTTAGAAACTCTTCAGCTTGTGCTGTAAACACAGGAGTGTGACCATGAGTGACTCCCCCATCTGGCACTGGGCTCTCATGATCAACAACAAATTCAAGCAGCTGAGAGAATTAAAGGAATGCCTATTTTAGCTACAGAAATTTATTGTGCTCTGTTACATTTAAAAATAGGTCTTTAACTGCTTGTGTGCTTCAAAACAGCTTTTGCACTTCAGAAGATTTTCCCCCTAAGATGTGCCGACGGAATACCGTGTCAGAGAAGAGTTCTAAACGTGTGAAAAGTCAGGCTTACATTGTTTCCGAGCAACAGAAGGGAATAAGAACGAATCTAGTGCAAACAGAATCAAGCAATTCCGCGTGTTTTTCCCCCTAAAGGACTTTAAGCAAAACAGAAAGAAATGGGGTTCCCACACAATGTAAAGGTACAAAAAAAAACAGATCTCCTCTTTAACCTCAGAAAACAAAATGCCATGCAGTGTAGCACACAGGACACTCAATGCACACAAAGGCTAATAAGTTAATGAAGGTTCGAATCAAGAGAAAATGATACTCTCACGCTACCGGATAGTGTCAATTCTGTAGCCTCTTTGCAACCTAGCCTTTTCACACCCAGTATGTCGTCTTGGAACAGCAGCCCCTCCATCCCCCCCAGAAAACTCAGGAAACTACCCCCTGGTCAAATCATGCTTTAAAATGAAGCCTACTGGCTGTGGGTTTGGGTTCTGGCTCTGGTTCCGGTTCAGGAGTGGGTTCTGGCGGTAGGGCGGGCTCCTCTGCTGGTGGGCTGGGTTCCTCGGTCGCCGGGGGCTCCCCCGGTGCCGATCCTTGGCCTGGCTGACCGGGGTCTGCCTCCTTCGTAGCCTCTTGCAGGTCAGACGGGGGTGCCGGTTCCGCGGGCTGGGGCGGGCTCTCCGGTGCCGGCGGCGCTGGCTTCTTTTCGGCCGTCTTGGGGAGCGTGGCTTTCGTCATGCTGTGGTTTTTCTTTCTTCTCCGCCGACCCCCGGGTGCACGTGTGTGTGTGTGTGTTTCGGGCTAGTGTCTTTTTCCTCCTCCGCTGTCCTCGGCGATCTGTTGATGTTGGCTCTTGTTCATGCACTCGGGCTCGGTCCCCCTCTCTTGCAGCAGCAGGAGCGTGATTCCTGTCCCCGGGCGCGTACAGTAGCCACTATTCCCCCGGCGGGCACAGCTGGCGCAGCGTCACTGCACCAGTCATGAGTGATTATTTATAGAGGGGAATGCCACAGATACTTTCCTAATCAGCTGTCTGTGCGACTCCCGGCGCTGCTGGGTTAGAGGCGGATACTTCAGCGTTCGCACCCAGTGGGACAGCAAACCCCAGCAGGAAGAGGCTATGGGACCGCGTAACCCACTCAGCTCCCGAACCCCACATGCTGCAGCCCGGCCCCAGGACGAATCTGACTGGTCATCATAGACACATGGCTTAATCTTGTGGAATTCTCTGGGCTTCAGACAGATGTCAGAGATGTCCTCATATTGCACACTGCCGGGAAGGGAGTGCAGCTATCTTGTTGTGCTCACACTCTAGGTAGGTGTTAAAGCCCAGAAGGGATTTATAAAATGCAATCGGTGGACTAAGATGAGTCCTAATAAAAATCTCAGAGCAAGGTGCTGAATTTAGGTCACCTTAGTTCTTATTTTGTTTTTCCAGCTTATTTCTGGTGTAAAGCTTTCGCCACAATGCCTGGATAGTCCCCCACACCTGTTCAATAAAGCCCACAATTCAGCGCTCTAGGACACCTCTCGTTAATCCGACAGGATTTTACAAGTCTTTTCCCTCTGGTTAGGAACTTCTGCCAGGAAGAAAGATCACACGTTGAGCTCCTACAAGTATGAAATCCTGATGTAAAATACCAACTGACGCTCCAGAATGATGGTTTGGTTGTTCTTTGCCTTTGAAGGCAACATGCTTTGAATGACAAATGAATTGATGGATCACCTGTGCTGACAGACCACATTAGTGTTTCCTAGCTCACAGGTCAGCTCCTAGGAATTGTCCAGCCCTGCCTGATTCAGTTAGTGCTGTTGCTGTAGTGCTGTGTCTCCTGGTTGAATCGGACAAAAAGTTGAGCACCCTGTGCTTCATGTCTCACTTAGCCACCATACGGAAAGAGAAAAGAAACTCTTCTCGCGTTCTTTTGTAAGCCAGAGCCACTGGGTGAAAACACTGAAAGTTTTTTTGTTTGGCTTTCTTATATGAACCGGTTCCTAGTTTAGCATCCTGGGTCTGATACAGTCATTTGCACATTTCTCTATGCCCTGGTCGTAGCCTGGTGCCCGTCCTGTCACCAGGACTCTGGTGGAGAACGGAAGGGGCGAAAGGAGACGTACCGACTGGGACAAAGGGCTGAGATGCTGGACTGTGACGGGACATCCCGATGGCGTTCACCGCGTACACCCGCATTTCATACGCAACCCCCTCAATCATCCTCTTCGCCTCGTAGGTCAGCTCCTTGTGGAGGTCAAAGTTCAGCCTCATCCACCTGTAGCTCTTCTTCTTCTTCCTCTCCAGCACGTATCCTGAGGGCAAACAGAAATCAGATCGGCCTAATGAATGCTGGCGTCCGATGCATGTTCAACTAGACCATCCCCGAAATGGACATCAATAATTATTATATTTACGTGACCTCGCTGCCCATCAGTAATTAACCCGAATTCTGAGATTGGGCAATACAAGTTCACTAAATGCAGTCCGGCCCACAAGACTGCACAGTGTCCCGACACCATGGAAAGTCCAGCTGGCCACTGCCTGCACCCTGCTTGGCCTTACCAAGGATTGGCTGACCGCCGTCAAACTTTGGGGGCTCCCACTGCACCACGCAGGAGTCCTCCCCAACACTGATGATCGTGGGGGCTTCAGGGGGGTCAGGGACATCTGCAGAGAACAGAGGTACAAAGAAAAGCTTTATATGCAAATTTGAAGGCCAACTTAGCTATTCAAGGAATGCATAACAAAAAAGCAGCATAATTCCAAATCTCAAAAGATTTTTAAGAAAAATGGTTGGCCTTTAAAGGCACTGGCTTCGTGTTTAGTGGTGGGGAGACTCTGGGGACTTTGTCTGCTTAATCAGCTATCGTCAGTTTTAATTTGTGTAAAAAAAATTAGAGGAAGAGGGTAGCAGCATTTTACAAAAATGACCCAGAGCTGATATGTAAATATAGCTATCATGACCTACAGTATCTGAATATTAAGAGACCTGGGCTGTCGCAAGCAGGCTGTTTTTGAAATTCTGATCTTAAATGAAAGGGGAACTAAACCATTTTTAACACAAAACCTAGAGTTTAGGCGAGACCTTTTTGTGATGAAGAAAACAAGACTCAAGAAGAGTTTCCATAAATAGCCTTTGGAAGGCGTTGATGCTCTTCCGAAGTATGTTCTCAGGCAGTGAGACACTCTCCTAGATCAGCTTGTCCCTCACCGGTGAATGGTATGTCACTGACAGGGTGCTGTCACTTCATTTTCAGACCCACCACCAAAATAGCATTTTATAGAACAGACCAAATATATCCTGTTATCACTAACAGCCACTGGAGAGTGCTTTCAATCAATGATGGTTTCCAACGTGATAAGAAAATGATAATCCTAACATCACTCATTTACAACTTCTCCTAAAATGACAGGAGAAATCAATTGCCCTGATGCCTCTTTAGAATGAGCGTATTAGCACTAAAAACACGACAAATTAATATTGAAAGCAATAGCATTTTCTGTATTTTAAATGCCTCTCGGTTCTCCCCATACTTATTCCTCCCTCCTTAGAAAAGTAAAGGCGTCCAGTTTTGCAGATTGAGAGGAAATCTTTCCGGTGCCTTATTATGTAGGACATGGTGATAATGACCCAGAGCTGCTGTGTAAATGTATTTATCTTGATCTACTGAATTTTACGACAACACACAGAAGGTGCAATCAGTGCAGTAGTGTGACCACTAAAATTGAAAAAGAAAACAATTCATGTGTAAGAGATGTCATTATTTTTGTGTTTGTTGTAGTACAGGGCAAGTGTTGGTTGTTAATTAATTGACAAAGGGCTTAGTCTGGTTTGGACTGCAGGCCTGCTTTCCTGGTGGGGCTGAGGCTGCTGTCTTGTCGCCTCTGCAGGGGACAGGCAGACACGCCCCTGTGTTGTGCTGTCTGGTGCAGAGCCGCGCGGCCGGCGGCCCGCTCACCCACGACCTTGACGGCGATGTCCGCGGTGTCCTCGCCCGCCGGGTTCCGCACCACCACAGTGTACACGCCCTCGTCCTGCCGCTCCGCCCCCTCGATGGTGAAAGTGCAGTGGTCCCTGCAGGACTCCACGTGCACCCGGCCGTCCGAGTCCGAGATCACCTGGCCGGCGGCACAGGAGACAGCCCGGCGTGAGTCCGCTGCGCCGCACCTGGGCGGCTGCCCCCCAGGCGCGGCCGCCGTGACAGACGAGCGCTTTTTAGGCTCCTTCCCATGGTCCTACAGTGCTAACACATTTACTCTCCATTGTCCTGGTTCGGCATGGTTTGTATAACTGTACCTCCACGTGCTTTTCCATGCTTTTACTAGCACGTTTGCAGCAGTAAACTTTCATAAAGGTTCTTAAACTGCTTAGAGAGGACATTTCTCTTCTCTAAAGCACTTCACTGCCGGTGGATTGGGAGAAGAAGGGCCCATCAGTATATCGGGACACCGTATGCCTTCTATAGCATTTCTAAGCTCTAGGATGCAGACACTCACCTGAGCTTGTCCATGGACAGCACACTCACAGCACTGTGACCCAGAGAACGTGCACACGCCTGAGCAGTTGTGCTACAGCCACCTACGCAGAAATCACGGCCTGGCACACACACCTTGTGTTGGCCACTGCACAACACCGATTTGATCGAAGCCACTGCATGTAAGTCGAAACTGCAGTAATGCGTTTTGAGATTTTTGCCATTGATGTCAGATACAAAATGTGAAGACGGGGTTCATTTTAAGTCCTTTCTGCAAGAAGATTAGACTTCTAAGGCTGGAGTTTATGGCAGGAAGGGGGTTAACTGATAAGGATTCTAGATGCGAGCTAGGAAACTCCCCGGGGGCTTAATCCCTGACCATTTGGCCAAAAGGCTGCAAATTGGCCAAACACGTGACCTCCCCCCTTTACCATAATAACGAGTGACATCAGAAGCGACAAGGAAGGGCTATATAAACTAAAAGTTTGTACCAGCACTATGAACAATACTTCAGTTTTGTTGCCTCTTGCGGGAAACAAGACTTCGGCTTTATCGTTCCTTGCATGCAATAAACTCATCTGTTGAACTTCATCTCGGGATCCAGAACCTTATTCTTTCTGTTACAACACCATGTGGTTTTACATCTCGACAACGAGCCACTGGTGGAAAAAGGAGGAGATTGAATAACAAACCCCGCTGAGAGCACGGAACCGAATGGCTTCGGAGAGCAGCGGAGGTGATGGAGTTCCCAGCTTACACGCAACACGGACGGGGTGAGACCCGGGCACACGCTGCCTCTTCCTGCGGCCCTCGCAGAGCAGGCTGATTACGCATGCAGGACCCGACCGCAGCACGACGGAACTTACTTCCCCGTCTTTCATCAGATCAGCACTGAACTCCACGCCTGCAGACTCGTCGCCCTTCGGCTTTCTAGATTTGCCCTACGTGAGCAAAGCAGATCTGTGAAGCGGCAGAGAGAGCCAGGCACGCCAAGGGGAAACGGGGAGGGAGGAGGGCTGGCAGGCAGCAGGGCCCCCAGAGGAAGGGTAAGGCAGGGTCTGCAGGACGTCCCTGGCAGCCACAGCTTCAGATTTTTCAAAGCTTGCTCTGGCAGGACAAAAAGTCTCAGGATTTGCTTTTAGTTTTACATGTTTTGATATTTACAAGGTCAATGGCCCAAACTCCTGTCTCCTCCAGTTTGAGAATAAGCCGAATACTTGAATGTCCAGAGCAAAATGTTAATTAAAACGATATCAATTTAAATAGCACTAAAGGTCATGCTCCCGAGCAGACAGAACCCACCTTCCTGCTGGTTGAAAACCCCAGAGCAAGAAGCTACAGCAGCAGTTTTAGTGTTTCCCTTCATCCTCCCATGCACAGGGGGGTATTTCAGAGTTTGGGCTGTGCTACGCAAAGCTTTGAAGAAGCGTTGTTTCTGAGTAGGCTGGTATGAAGTTGATGGTTCTGCCTCCTCAGCAGCACCTTGTGCATTTTCTTAAGGTCTGACAGGTCCGTTTGGTAGAAAATTAAGCTTAAATTCAGCCAGAAAACAGATGGTAACAGTAATGGGAAAAGGAGAGAAGTGGAAAGAGTATAGCTGCCTCTAATTGAAGCAATGGAGTAGAAGGGCGAGCTCAGCAAAAGCTCTTACCTGTGAGGTCTCCATGTGCTGCAGTAAAAACTGACTGTCTCACCAATGTGAACTTGCACAGCTCATCACAGGGGTCATACAACCTACCTCACATGCATGACATGCCACCCCCAGGCAAGGTCCCTGCTAATCCGAGTGCGATATCTGCAAGCACCAACCTGCTTCACACTGACGGATCTGTCCTTGCTTTAACTCATGTTATAACTATACATATGCAACAGCATTTACCACGTGTGCAGGCCACTGTTGTGAGGATTCTAATATGAGCTTTGAAAAGCATTCATGAGAGAGATCCTCCGAGCAGGCCACTGTGGAATGAACAGTGATGCAGGAGTCCTGTTCAATGGAAATTCCAGTTCATGCACACATGCTTATGGACCGCGGAGCTCCGTGCTTGTCCAGAGTGGAGCGTTCTAGCGAATGGGTGGGCAAGGCTGGAGAGATGGGAATACCTTGTCGGCTTTGGTCCACACCACTGTGGGCGCAGGGTCCCCAGAGATAGGCACGTCCAGGCGCAGCTTGTTCCCCGCCACCACGATGATAGTGGTTTCTGGGAGGTGGCCCACGCAATCCAGGTGGATTTTAGGCGGATCTGCAAAGCAGCAACCATGAAAAATGACGGCACGTCTGCGATATCCTCTGGATTGCCCCAGAGGAGTGATCGGCTGAGCTTTGCTCTGCACCAGTGAGATTGGGGTGCTGCCCCCTCAGTGTTGACGGTGCGTGGGGCTCACAACATAGACAACAGCACATGTGACACCCTGAACAAAGGGGCAATATGATGTCACAGGGTCGAGCCTGCCTGGGTCATTAGCTGATTAGTTGGCATTATCTGGGCAGAACTCTCTCGGCTCTCAACAGAACAGTCACCCTTGACCGTGTGGGCACCTGAAGGCTCGCAGTTGTGTCATTTTGGGAGGCACCTCTCCTCCAATCTGGACTGTACCTCAGAGGGGAACATCTGAACTTCCTTCTTTCCATGTTTCTCTCCGCTGTGAACTGAGGTGTACAGGAATGAAGCCTGATTCCCAATTGTGTGGGTATATAGCAAGAACAGGAGACACATCTTTACCCAAAGGGTGGTGGGTGTGTGGAACAAGATACCCAGTCATGTGGTTGAAGCCGATACCTTGGCTTCATTCATGTAGTAGCTTGATGAAGTCCTGGACTTACTACTAATGACCAAGATAGGCTAGATGGGCTGAATTGCCTCTACTCAATCATAACCTCTTATATACAAATAGGAAATATTACAAAGTTTTAAAAAATAAAGAATATTATCAGTACACAGGTGAAGAACAGTGTACAGTAATTAGTCCCCATCGCCTGCTACAAGGATCACAGCCATCAAAGGAACCGATTGACCAGTTTGGAAAGTTTAACATCTTACCTTGTCTGGGAACATAGTCAATCTTGACCTCTGAAAAAGAGAAAAAATACAAAATATTGAGTATACTGTACATACTTAATAGGATCTTAAAAATATGGAATAAGAGAAAACTTAGACCATACTGTATATGCTCTGAATATTAAAAATTAGCTCTGAAAATGTAAAGGTTAAATTGCTCACTGAGTTACAACAGTCTATAATGCACACAGTTGAGGTGGAACTGATAACAATGGCCCCAGTACCTAGGAAGTTCAGTTTGGCAGAAAGATTGAAGGCATATCCCTCTGGCACAAACGTGTAGTCTCCTTCATCCTCGGGCTTCACGTCATCTATCGTGAGCTTGTGGATCCTAACAGGGAAACAAAGGGGAGGAGTCAAGAGGGGCAAGGGGAAGAAGCAAAAAAACTCCGGGGGGGGGCAAAAAGAAGGGGCCAAAACCCCCCAGGGACAACAAGGGGAAGGGCAAAAAACCCCCCAAGGAAACAAAGGAAAGGGTCGATACTTTATAGGGAGGCAAGGGGAGGGGTCAAGATATTTAGATATGGGGTGGGTGAGCCTATTGTTTTACTTGGCTTCTTTGCTGCCTGAGTAGTCTGTGGGTGTCAATCTAATCACTGACTCTAAGGGGTTCCATTAATCAATGGAAAAGAGGTGACAAGGGATTAAGCGGTTTCTTAAACCGGAATACGAAGGGGCACTGGACCAGAGTCCGGGTGCAGATGTGAATCTGGGCATGTGTGTCGAGGCAGCTGCCCCACACAGACCAGCTACGGGCATCAAGCCAAAGGGTCTGCATCCCACTGTGGAGGGGTTCCAATGATCTTGAGAATCCTAGGGAACTGAGATCCCTGTCACCCTGTCACCCTGTATCCTCAGCTATCGGACCTCTTACACATGCATTTGCTGAAAGAGATGGCAATTAGGTTTTCAATGCACTTCTCAAAAGGTTCCGCGTGGACAGATCTGCTCTCCATACTGATCCTTTTCCTAAGCCCTCCCAGCACGTGGCTCCATCCCTCAGCCACTCACCTTCCGATGTGCGTGATGTGGATCCGCTGGTCGGCGGTCACCTCCACCCCGTTCTTGTACCAGATACCCTTGACATTCTCGTCGGACACCTCGCACTTAAACACTGCCTGGTCCTTGGCCTTAACCGTCAGGTCCGCGATGTTCTGGTAGACCTCCAGCTCTTTCTCTGGCAGTCAGAGGGGGAGAAAACAGAACCGCTCTCACCAGGCTCTCTGAGATAATCTCCCATTGCCTGCGCACTGCAGTACTGTCCAGTCATCTTTTTTTTTTTTGCACTGCTTTAGTGCATTAGATTAAAAAGGCAAAAAAAAACCTGCCTCAGTCTTCACTACACGTCATGGATAGTTTCCTAATCACCCAAAAGCAACAGTGGCCTGTTTTGATTCCAAATGGGCCTTGACATCCTACAGTGCAGCAGAAGACTGCACCTCCTGGGGACACACCTTCTGGGCATCAGGCTATACAGGGAGGGGGAGCAGGAGAGGTGATTCATTTCAACTCGGCATCACCTTTAGCCCAGCAGACACTAATTGGTGATTTGCCCTTTGCTTATTGTTCCAACTATAATAACCTTGGCAGCAGTCAGTAAGCTGTGTAGCATGATGCAAAGACTCTGCCATCTCCACCCCACCCTCGCCCTCCCCCCCATTTTTATTCATTGTGGATTAAGAACTGTTTATGGGCTGTAACGCACAATGGTATGCGGACTGCGTGAATGTGCAGGGTGTTACTCTTCAAAGTTCATGGGGAAATTCAGTCCCCAGGAGGCCTTTAACACAGACAGCAAAATAACACAGAAGGAGCAGGAGGCAGGGAGAACGGGGGGCCCTGCCAAGCGGGCTGTGTCTCGAAGAAAATGTATCAGCCGTTTCTTCTAACTATAGCTGGCATCTCAGCTGTGTTAGAGCAGTAACCTTGACACAATGACAGGAATCGCAGGGATCGGGTTTCAGGAAGGGAGAAAGCTGTGTGGACTGGGTACCTAGCCCTCCACATTTAATTGCTGCTCCTGAGGTATTAAACCAAGAAGCAGTATTGTAAAAATAAAGCATTTACGAGGAATATTCCATAAAATCCCTGTATATTCTATGAAGAAACATTTATACACTGTATTTTGTAGTAAATCATTAGGTTCCATATTTTATTTATTTAATATTATCTTTTAGTTACTTTGTCGTCTGTGCGCTTTGCAAAAAAAAATAATCTGTGAATCCTTTGCATCTCACACAATTATATAGTGCCCACTGGACATAGAAGAATTCCAGCCTTCAGCATTCTCGTCTGTCTGTGTGGAGTCTGCGCGTTCCCCCCCCGTTCCCCCTGTTCTTGCAGCTGTCCTCTGGGCATTCCTCCTCACACCTCTCAAAGCCACAGAAGATGCGCCCCGTCGGATTGACCCTTCACCCCCCCTTGAAGAGGGAGGGTGGGACCCCACTTTATTCTTCTGCACTGTCAAGAGGGGCTTCAGCGCTCCCCTGCCCTACGATGTGATGCGTGAGACGTCCGCCTGCAGGCACACACCGAACTCAAGGTACTTTACACACAGAACACAAACCTATTAAACCTTGCGATAAGCCTCTTTGATCAACAGGAGGCCCGCGTCTGTTTTAATGCCAAAGCACAATGGAAATATTTTCAGCTCCCCTGGGTGGGGCGCACCTACCCTGCACCATCAGCTCAGCCACAGAATCCCCTCCATTAGTCTTGGCCCTGTAGTGGCCGATGTCTTCCTTGGTGGCCTCGTTGATGATCAGGAAGTGCTTCCTCCCGTCCTTCTTGAACCGGTACTTGAAGGTCTCCTCGCGGGTCAGCTCCACCCCATCCTTCTCCCTGCCATGACAAGAAAGTCCCGTCACCCCTGCCCCCCAGGATCTCACACAGACGCCACCTGAATGCCCCCTGGCGGGGGGGGGGGGATGTCTGGGCAGAGGGGTGGTGTCACGTGGAGCTGGAGACGCCTGGCCCGGGGAACTCTGGGATACGTATTTGAAAGTAGTACTGCACTCCTGGCTGGGCCTGTTATCCGGACTGACGGCATGAAAGTCAAATCCAATCCTCTTCCGAACGTTTTCCAAATGCTGCCATGAGATGAAAGGACCCCACCACCACTGCCTTTTCAGCGATTCAAACACATTAATAATGACGTAGTTCAGGTGGGGAGCTGCGTCAGCATGCATAGGCTGCAAAAAACAAGAAATAGGTTGATTCCATGCTGAAAAGAGAAGAAAGAAAACACAATGTTTCGGAAACTTGTTTTCTCTCTTCTCTTTTCAGCATGGAATAACTCTATTGCTTGCTCCTTTTAATGATGACGTTCTGCTCAGAAAGGACAGCAACCAAAAGCTGTTTTAAAAGCTAGGCTGACCTTCTGGCAGATAAGAACCCACCACAGGCAAAAAATAGAATGAATCCGCAACAGCCTGAATTAGGGAGGTGTCTGAGAGCCAAAGAAGTCAAGAAACACAGGTGCCATCTACAGGACATTATAGGAATGTGCACTTTATTTGGGAAAACAAACTGCCCAAGGGACTTGGGGACACTACTTCGCTCGTGTTTTCTGTAACTTGAACAGAGTTAAACTTGAAATCGTTTCCATCCTCTGGGATTTTCTTTCCTGATAACAGTCAGACACTGTTAATTCATCGTGCTGGGTCTGTTACATTTGCCGAGGCCTGGCTCCCGAATGAAACTTAAAGCAAAGTTTACGGGCAGGAAACTTAAAGCAAAACCGGTCACACGTTTTTCTCAGGTTGATCTCACCTTATCTCCCAGTTTACGTTCTCCTGGATTTTCTTGAAAACAAAGCACATCCGGTCAAAAGCAAAGGGAGTGATCAGAATGTGAATAAAAAGTTCCATTACTGATAAAACGCTATCAAAACGAAATCATGTAGCAACAGTTAAATAGCTTGAATACATTACAAAATGTCAGAAAAGCCACAGGGTGGCACAGGGGCATGGTCATTAGCCTTGCCGCCTTGCAGAGCTGTGGCCCTGGGTTTGTTTCCAAAGGTACTGTCTGTGTGGAGTCTGTATGTTCTCCTTGTGTTCATGTCGGGTTCCTCCAGCTGCACTGGTTTCTTCACACAGTCCAGAAGCATGCTGGTAGGTTAAGAGGCCTCTGGGAAAACTGGCCCTGGCGTGAGTGCGTCTGGGTGTGTCTGCCCTGCGATGGACTGGCGTCCCATCCAGAGTGTACCCCGCCTTGCGCCTGTTGCTTGCCGGGACAGACTCTGGCTCCCCCACAACACACGACACACGACTTGATAAAGAGTTTCGAAAACGGATGAATGGACGAAAAGAAATGTACTGTATTCCTCCGGCATGTGTTTATCTGCCCTCCAGCTCCCCTTCCGAACAGGAAGATTCTACATTCCCAGTTGTTTTTTTTTGTCCCAACGTACCATTTCACATGGGCTCCCTCCTCAGACACCTCGCACTCAAACTCCACCCTGTCGCCCTTCATCGCCATTTGGTCCTCCAGGGGGCGCACTATGAGAACTGGGGGCTCTGGGAGGGAGAGGGGGGAAAAAAGCTTCACACCTGAACAACAACAGCCTTCACCTGCCACCTTAAAAACTGTCTGAGCATCTCTCCTTGACAGTCCATGTATCTTTTCACAGTACCCATTGCCGTCCACTAACTATAACCTTGAGTGTTACACAAACCAGAAGCCTGGTTTAGGGTTTGGGTCAGAAACATGTCTGCCTAACCAAAAATATGTACTGCTTAATTCATTTCATATAAAGTACACAGGCTACAGGCAGCTTAAATACTGTATTTGGCAAGATCTGCTTGCTTTTGCTGAGCTCTGTCCTAGAGCTTGCTTTGGCTAATATTTCTGGGTTTTTTTGCAGACCAGTTAGCATTCAGCTCCTGGTAAGACTGATAAAGACACACTGACATCAAGGTCGTCACTAAACATTAGTGAACCCTTGTTCCATCGGCTACTGAATTTCAAGAACTTGTGTCTTTTAAAGACTTTGTCGTGGCTGATCAGTTCGTTCACCATGATGTAATAGACTAATTTTTGAGGGGTTCAAAAAGTCGCACCCTTGACGAAGAGCTCGGTGACGCATTTCTCGTCTCCGATGACGCACGCGTAGGCAGCGTCGTCCGCCAGCGAGCAGTGGTTGATGGTGAGAATCCGCTTGTTACCGATGTTTTCGAAGATGTACCTGTTGGACCGACAGAAGGGGAGATTTGACCAGACTAATCGTTGCTACTCACCTTCGAACAAAAAATCTTCCAGCGAGTCACGCTTGCAGTTGAAACCAGCTCTTTTTTTTAAAGTCAAATAACGTTTTCCCGTGTTGAAATGTTAAATCATTTCTGTCTGTTGCATCCAAAAATGTTGCGCAAACATGACAAATTCTAGCATTTTTACATAACCTCTTTTCCAGAGATGGGAGCGGCGTATATTATTATTAACACAATGGATTCACACCTTAAAAAGATTCCAATACATTGAAAACTGAGGCCTCGCCATGAAAATAATCATTTCTGATGGTAAGTGTTCATTTTCTTTCGGCAGCGATGTATTACTCCAACTGGAATGTCTCGCTTGGGCTGACTGGTCTGACTGGTTTCCCTGCCTGGTCAGCTCTGCTGTGTGTCTCACGGGGTGTCAGACAGACACCGCCCGAGTGGGACATGTTCAGCGCAGTCCGTTTTGAAATCCTCCCAGTTTGCTGCTTTCATCGAAGCGCCTTTCACACGTTGGCATATCTCGAGGAAAGTTCAGTATCGTGTTCTCATAATCACCCCTAAACCCAAACAATAACATCTGGCTTTTTCTCAGTAAAAAAAAAGATCTCCGCAATCAATACCACAGCAGAAAAATGTCAGCGCACACACAAATAGCAAATAAAATGCTCCCTACTTGCTGTGGATGGAAGTCCCATAGTCCAGCGTGGCACCATCGGATTGTTTTTCAAACATTAACGGGTTGAACAGGAAGAAGAAAAGAAAAGCCGTTAGAACAGGTGGAGATGCAAGGAAGAATTGAACGATGCCACGTGTGAACGAAAATTCACCCCTCTGTCTCCTACCTGCCGGTGGGGTGAATTTCCTGGCCATTCTTCAGCCACTTCACCTCTGCGTCGGGGTTGGCCACTTCGGTGACCAATTTGATCTTGTGACCCTTCTCCACTTGGTACGCGGGGTCCAGTTTCTTCAGGAAAGCTGCAATGTCAACGAGCAGTGACAGCTATTATTTTTGCAGACCTAGAGTACCTGCTGCATACTGTATATATGTTAAAATGAAGCCAGAGAGAAAGAGAGGGGAGACTGATGAACGAGAAGGTGCAGAGGTCGGGGGCGAGCACTGGAGGTCTAGAGCCTGTGAATGAGACAGTGGAACCTCAGCTTGTCTCTGTTAGCGGACTCAACAGGACAATTTCGGGGGCATGAAACAGGAATCAAATTGGCAGGGCACAATTTAATAGCTGCGGTAATTTCTTCAGGTCATAACTTTTTTTGGGGGTAACTGCGGTTTACCAAAAATAAAGGGCAACTATTTCACACTGGCAACATACTACATGTGAACTACATGTGAACTACATCTGAAAAGGGCCATATTATCCAGTAGGATAGTAGGCCCTGTGCCTAGAGCCTATGAAAAAATGACCGTGTGCTTTTATTAGCTTTAACAAAGATCCTTTTCTATATACAGTATATTTATTGTACTGTAAACTGTATATAGCAGGGATATGCTGTTTGAAAAATCTTCAGGATAATTGTGATCACTCATCTGCCCTTATAAATTGATACACCCGCAGAAATGCAGTCACCAAAGGGCCTGGAAAGATCTTAACCCAGCCATGCATGCAAATGGTTAAGGAATCGATCTCCTAGTGGTGGAAGAAGAAAAGAAGAAAGGGAATGTCTTCCAGACAGCTGGGCTGACACACGCCGGGACCGGTACTGCTCAAAGTGCCGAGGTGCCAAACGTGTCGGCCTCATCATGTCCAGGCTCGGCGCCGGTTCCGACCCGGAAAACCCACCGGCGCTCTTCTTCTCCTCCTTCTTCATCTTCTTCAGCCTCTTCAGCATGCCCCGCAGGTCCGTGATGCCGTACTGGAAAGCGATCTTCTCGTACTCGGTAGGCGGCGCCTTGCGCAAGATGTCCCAGACGTCGATCTCGGGCTGCGCGTTCACCTGGACTGCTCTGGGGGAGAGGAGACACCGGTCCCTGAGTCAGCTCACTGCCTGCTGCAGGTCAGGAAAGCGCAAGTCATCTCATCATCTACACACATTTCGTTTTGGAACTGCATCTGTCACACGGATTAAAAACTGGATTGTAAATTCAGGTTACATTCCTTGTGGACAAATAGGGCAAATTGAAAAGTACAACTACAGCAGTTTTAAATAAAAACTGAGATACACCGCAGATTTACTATGATATGCAGAGAATGACACATGACAGCATGGAAAACAGTATTTCCGGCATACAGCGTCAATGGACTCTTTCTGTAAGAAACTGATGTGTCGTATAGACAGGACACAAGTCTGTGTAGTTACACATTTATTACATCCTTACAAATATTTTTATTTTCTGCTTTAGAACAGGAGAAACCTGTAAGGCCTGTGTTAGTTATATCTGAATGACATAAGAACACTTAACACATGATGCACAGCCCCTCTAAAATGACTACCTACTGCACTGGTTGTCTTTGGACTGTAATAACTAAGAGGTACTATTCGAACCTCACTAGCAAATATTAGATACTCACTTAGCAAAAACGTATAACATCTGTGGTTTACCTGTCCTCCAATGTTACTAAATCCCTGGGTTACCATATATGTACAGCTAAAGGTGTTAGATGACCAAAAAGCTTTTTAAAACAAGTCCTTGAGATTTTGAAATGAAGCACGAATTGAACTCGTTTCAGGGCAAAACTGAAAAGCATTCGGCAGAATCTTATAAAGCTAAGCCAGGCCAGACCGAAACAGAGAACATTATTTAAAGCACACTGAGCAAGGCGAAACAAAGAACATTTTCTTACCGGTTTGAGGCTTTTAAAAAACTGCTGCGCTCAAGACAGACGCAGAAGGCAGCCAGCATCCACGGCAAAACAAATCAGAAGCTGTTAATGCACGCACTCCCATCTCTGCACCAAACAGGCCACACTTTACAGTTCACCAGATACATGTATGTCCAAGCACTGACAGTCATGCTGCATGCTCTGAAACATGCAGTGCGCATGCAGGGCAGGATCATGTCATACATCTCTCCTGGGAGAAATACATCTCCAATTAGGAGATGCACTTGGCAGTGCCTTTCAAACATCTCCACCACGTGCCTGAACTAATCATCTCACTGGAAAAGCAACATGGCAGAAGAGTGGAAAAACAGGAATGTAAACTGGCCCCTGCCCATTACCAACAGACCACAAGATGGCAACAGTCCATAAAGCCTGTAAAGGCATGTTGTGTGATTGATCGATCCCCAGCTCACATTTTCCCCAGAAACAGGGAAGAGAGAGCAACAGTCCAGCTGTAGTTCGGGACTTGAGGGGGCACCTGGCTGCAAACAGGAGGTGATGAGAGTTGTGCTCTGAGGAGATAGTGGAGTCCTGAAAGAGGATCCTGCATGAGCAGTCTGGCACAGTGGTTGGGAGCCTGGATTTGTCACTTGGAGCACAGGTGTGACACCATCTCTGTGTCCTTGAGCTGCTTACTGTATATCATGTAGGCTGCCCTGGTAAAGCTGTACCAATGGGTAAATCAAGGTTTGGTCTCAGCTGACTTAGCCTGATAAATATCCATCCAGCAGTTTTCCATCTACTTAGTCCAACTGGAGCTGGAGCCTGTCCCAGCAAGAAATGGGCATGAGGTGGGACACACAGACACAGATTCACTCACAACAGGGCTGATTTTCCCAGAAGAGGCCACTTAAGAGACCTACCAGAAGGTCTGTGGACTGTGGAAGGAAACCCACCCAAACTGGGGGAGAACATACAAACTCCACACAGACAGCACCCCAGGTCCGGAGTCGAACCCAGTGCCCCAGTGCTGTGAGGCAGCAGTGCTGAACACTTAATCACCCACAGCCCCCTCATTAAGAAGGAACTCTTTATTATCCTTTAATCCTTTTTTCATTCTGGTTCCTGGCCATGAAGAGGGTGCTGCATCTTTAGTTAAGAGCATCCTAATCATTCCATTATTGTTTATCTATAATTATTTTAAAACACTACAATAGATTTGAGAAAACTAAAAAAAATCTATGAAACCTTGTGTCTGCATCACGGTGCAGTGTGTGCAGGCCTGGACCAGCGTGGTTGAAGATGTTTGAAGTGTTACACCTACTATAAAAGGTCCTGTAGATGCACCTCACAATCGGTTGTAGTTCAAAAGCACTTTTCGACTTCCTGTGTGATTGCTCACTGCATGCTCTGGAAAGGGCGTCTTGCGGCTTCAGGGGCCAGTGTCTGTGTGGTGACGGGCCGTTTTATCCGAGTGTTAACGGTGTCGAAAGCTGACACCTCAACAGTACAACACCATCCTCTGGTTAGCTTATCGCAGAGAGGATCAGGTAAAACCAAACCTCCAATTGTGCCAGCCCTTGAGCTTTAATACATTGCCTTATGGTGTCTAGACATGGTTCTTTAAACAACAGTACAAGAACAGGGGTCCAGGAATGGTGAGCTGCAGAGCTGGCAGACTGGTGAGACTGGTGAGATGGGTTACAGGGGCAAATCACAGGACCTGTACCAGAAAATCCAGTGTATATGTCCTATTCACTGATAATACGCACACTTTAGTCAGGGACTGCAGCTGCTGCAGCTGGTTCTTTATAGTGCGAAACCTATCAGTTCTGGGCGGCTTGGTGGTGGAGTGGTAAGTACTGGGGCCCTGGGCTCCTTTCCTGGAGGGCTGTCCGTGTGGAGTCTGCATGTCCACACCGGGCTTGTGTGGGTCTCATCCCACAGCCCAAAGGCATGCTGGTAGGCAAACCGGCTGTGGTGTGAACGTGCCTGTGTCTGTGTGTGCCCTGCGGTGGACTGGCATTCTGTCCAGGAAGTATCCTGGCGTACACCCGTTGCCTGCTGGGATAGGCTCTGGCTCTCCCGTGCCCCTGAATTAGCTAAAGTGGTTAAAAAATGAATGGAAGGATCTGTAAATTCCTCACCAATCCTGAAATGAGAAGCTGTTACAGGTACCAATTTCAACATGGTCGGTGTTGTTACAGGACTTATTTTCTGATGAATTATTACATTTGTTTGTTGTCCTCTTCCTGTGGGCACTCCACACAAGAGTCTGGCTTCATATAGTCCAAGTCACAGGTTTTTCTACATTATGTCCGTCTTATAAATGTGTAGGATTGGCATGTTATGCTAATTTAAAAAAATAATAGGACAGAGGTAGCCTTTGACTCCGGTTCCAAAAATAATAAAATTGCCATTGATTTAACAGTCACGAACAGACAGTTAATAGAGCCATTGCTTACTAGAAACAAACTCCTTATCAGTTACCACAACGCTGAGCTTTAATGCCATTTGAAGGTTATTTTAAAAGTCATATCAGACATGTCAGACCTATTTCAAAATTTCTCCTTTTTTCTGAGAGCTTGGAATTCAGACAAGACAGTATGTAACAAGGAAGAAAGGAACTTTGCACCGTTTCTTTGGGTGAGCCTCACTGAGAATGTCAGAGTCTGAATATCTGTTTGCAAAATATTAAAATATCCTACTGTCATTCTCCAGGAGAAAAGATCACATGCAGTGTAATCTAACAATGATGTACCCAGAGAGAACATACATGTGTTTTTCTATTACTGCCAATGGTTGTGACGAGGTACAAACACGGTATCGTTGACACTACCACTCTCTCGGTACTCTTGAGCAAGTGCATGCTGGGGGAAACAGTGGCTCAGGGCACACAGGGGGTGAGCGATACGATAGCGCCTCCAGAAAAGAAAGCGGACAGCAGTGGGAATGTCAAGCTAATGTAAAGTCTAGGAGGTCAGAGATCCACGAGGAGCAAAAGTGAGCTCATGGCCCTCTTTTGAAACTTGGGAATGTTCTAATAAGAACATTCAACTGGAAATGAAGGTGACTGTAAGGCGGTTTCTGTAATCATTCAGTGCAGTGCTTTGTGTATACAAGTTGTTAGGGGAGTGGGGGACATGCAGTTTCCCTGCTGATGGACTCCGCTAGCAGAATCTGTATGTTATTCTGTACCTATATAGTGGTAGGAGTTGTGAACTCCTGCTGAATCCACATGCTAAACTCGAACCCTCACACTTGCTTTAGCACAGATGCTTCTCCCTCTCTGTCTTAAACTCCCATCTTCTGTACCAAACTCCCTGATAAGGAAGGAATGTTTTAATTGCTCTCTGAGTCCTTGAGTTTCTTCAGAAAGTACCTCAAAGACAGGAGGGGGAGGGCATAGAGAAAAATATATATAAGCCATGTCGAGGCATATCCCCTCTGAGCAATACATCAATAAGCCTCAAATGTGTTGCTCCTTGAATGCATACAATAAAGCTTGGCTTGACGAATGGACACTACAGGCTCAAATCTCTTGGTTTCTACACTGCCATGCTGTCAAAGCCGATATCCTGGCTTCTTTCAAGAAACAGCTGGAAGAGATGCTCAGATCTGTTAACTACCAGCAACAGGAGGGCCTAAATGGGCCTGACAGCCTCCTCCTGTAGGAGTCGCCTCTTATGTTCCCGAGAGGAGTGACTCCAACCCAGTTGGGTTCATTCCAGAGCCGGGTTTTAGTAGCGGCACTCAGCCCATGCCATGCAGACTCCCCGTTAGTGTGTTGTTGTGAAGTGAAGAGATCTGGAGTTCTTACTCTCTGGAGGGGTGAAAGGTCCAGCCGAGGAGGGAGAAAGGACACCGGCCCACAGGAGAGATCAGCATGAGAAAAGACAAGCCATAAAAAAGTATTTAATAATGCAATCGGAGGAACATACACTGTAATTGAGAAAATGAGGCTCTCAGAGGTCAGATTTATAGAAATGTCTGTATAACGCAAATCATGTGTTGTATATATATTTAAATATCAAAAGAAAGACGGATATAGTTCCAGTATAATTTATTGCTATTTCATACAGTACTGCTTTTTTCACCCTCATCTGTTGCCCTCTCCTGGTAATGTTTAGGACATGAAGCAAGGAATATCCTTTTAAATGCAAAATAAGTAATTGCTATATCATCACTCTGAGGTTATGAAATTATGCTGGTATTTCTTAGTTAATTTTGTGAACATATCCTTCTTTCGTGTGATCAGCAAGGCCAACCTCCTCTTCATGTGGGTGAAGGTTCTCGCTGCTTTCCTAAGCATTTAGGAAGTGTGTCTGTTCTCCCAGCCTAGCATGAAAGAAGCCCTGCACTCACCTCTTCTTCAGCAAAGCGCTAAAATCAAGTTCCCCTGCTTCCTCTCCTCCATCGCAGCTACTGTGGAGAAACATCAGAGTGGCCACACTGTTAGGCTCCTCGAAACACCCTACTGCACTGCCGCCCTGCTCTGTCCCTCAGAAGGACCACCAACTCACTGCGCAGGACTCGGGCGATTAAATGTGACCCCGATCGACCTCTCTGCTACTTGATTTCTCTACATTCGTGGAAATATACACATTAGCCTCTGATCCGTTCAGATTTGACAGGGGTTTCGGTGTAGATCATACAGTTCACAGCTTACATGGCTTAGATTTTTTTTTCTCCCAAGACACAAGATGAAGGAACTAAGATACTAGAATGGAAAAATTAGTTGCCAATTTTCAAAAATGGATCGCCAAAGCAAAACAAAAAAAGTGACTAGGGCAGGAAAACCTTATTAAAAGCTCTCCCCTGGTACCAATCTTTAGTGGAAAAGGAAACTCACATCTCTGATACTCTGGTATGAATGTTACTTCATACAATTCATTCAAGATATACCTGGGCCTTCTGCAGCTTACACTGAATGCCATCTTTCTTAAAATCTGTTTAACCACAAGGTATATAACAGCACAGCAAGTTCATTACTAATACATGAAGCATATGAAAATAATGTGTTTTTATGATAATGATAAAAACAGTTGTGTGAAAGAGAACACGAGTGTTAGTGTTATGAAAAGTGAATGCAGAATACAAAAGAAAGACAATCAAACAAGTCACCAGCATAGGGACTTTAACTTTTTTCAGTGTTCTGCAGCTTTTAGAACTCCACTTCACTGGAGACAAACTACAAAGATCATGAACAGGGATTGTGTTAGAAGAAGTTTGTGTTAAAAGTCTTCATGTAAGGGACTGTACCAGTTCAGAATTGAAAGCACTTTTTGTATTTTCTAAAATGAAAGTCTTCATCACATGATTAGGGCGACCACATCCTTCTTTTAAAATTAAAACAGGGATTTTTTCTTTTTTTTTCCAAGGCGGAGGAAATGAAATCAGAGTCCCTTGGGGACGTTTCAGGTCTCTCCCTCACATGAAGATATTGGATACATGAGACTCTGTGTCTGAATTTGAAGATGTGTCACTGAGTTAAAGATGAAAGTGCTCTGTACTGAGGGCTGTGGATCTCGCTGGGAAAAAAAACAAAAGAAAAAATGCCAGAAAAACACCTACAAAGAGTAGCTGGAATGTTAGCAAGTATTTTTTGGTAAATTTCAAGGAATTACTGATAGTTTTACTATTTTTTTCCTAATAATTCATGTCATGCTTTTTTTTTCTAATTTACACAGTATTTGATCCTGTATTGCTTGAGCAGTGTCCAAAATACCCATTTCATGTTCAGAAAGAACCCCTCTGACATTGGCCTGACATAAATCTCTTATATATTCTTACACGGCGGAGATGATTACAGTTCTGCCACACTGTGCTGCTGTCTATTCGTATAAGACAGATTAATTAAATCATAATTAATAAAAAAAACACAAGCACAAATGGAAAAAAATGGCTGCTCTGAGCTGGTCTCAGAAACATTCTTACTGTAAAGGAAAAAAAAAAACAGTTTCAGCAGAATGAAAGAACAATTCATTTAAAAAATACAATAATACTTCCATGGATTTAAGTGAAAGAATGCCTTGTTTAAAAACCTAATGCACACCAGGAAAAAAATGGCACCAATAACTGTACAAACTTTGAAACTGTTTCCAACTTTGCAGGGAGAAAAAGCCATCAGTAGTGAACAGATGAAAGTGCTCAGACGTGGAGAGGAGTGAATGGACTGGAGGAGACACAGGGCTTTTCTTTTAATCTCGAGTAATACAGCCCCAGCACGTGTCCACAGGCTCAAGGGGGCCTGTGCTCGCCGTGTGGCGCTGGGATTAAAAGAAAGTACGCTCTCTGCGAACTCCTGCAACCGGGTGATGCAATGAATACTTCGAAAGATCACACTGAGCCGTCCCAGAACCGGTTTTCACTGAAAGCCCCGATGTCTCGTCACATTCGGGGTTTTACAGTCAACCTGGAGCACATGTTCCGAGAGGGAGGGGGGGGCGTTTGTGCAGCTGGTCCCCCATCTCTGGAAAACAGGCAGCCGAGGGGCCGAGAAGAGACCGGAAAAGCCACTGTGCAACTTCTATTTGCATATCATTTTTTGCTACTGTCCTTGCTTTTTTTTCGGGTAAATAGATTATCATTAAACGTCGCCTGCAACGTTAAGCTAAAAAGAGGAACTATCTCTTCTCGTGCTCCCCAGCCTGTGTTTTCAGGGGTGGGAGGGACGTAGGGCCATATTTGAAAAGACTGCAGTGCTTAGCTTGCTGTAGATTTTCTTCCCAGTTGTTGCTTTTGTTTTTAAACTGGAAACAAAGCTACGGATATTTTACAAAAATAACATCTGAAGAAAAGCCAATAAAGTTAAACTTTTTTGGGGGACCGGGGTATCTCCAGAAATTTTGAGACGAGGACGAGTAGCACTTCTTTGTTTTTCCATTGAGAAAGCAAAGACGAAAACAGCAAGCCAGTGCTGGCCTCCCACAAGGCTGAAAAGTCTGCAAATATGGCCCAGGCTGTCCCACAAACATGATACTACCTTCCGCCTGGGCCACTCTTCCGTTTCCCTCCTGGTCCAATGCTCCTAGCAAATCGTAATTTCCACATAATTAATCGCAGCACAGGACAGCGATTTGTCGTAAAGACAGCGAGCGCTCGAACAAAACAACAGTGCCACTTGCTCTTCGGTTTAAATGCATTTTGCTTCTCTAGCCCTCGATTTCGGATTCCTGTTCCCACGACAGTGGCGCGTGAGCTTTGCTCTACTGTGTGAGGCTGTAGGTTCAGAACCGGCGGCTGCAGAATGTGAACTTACGTGCGTCGAAAAGCAGCTCTGATGTCCACCTCTTCAACAGCGCGGGCCTCTAAAGACAGAGCACAAGACGACAGCTTGAATGTCTCCACACAGAAGGAGCCCCAGTACAGCCCGAACTGATCGCAGGATACCAAGTGCCGTGAGGCAGTAGAGTTACCCACAGTGCCATCACGCTGCCCATCAAGAACAGCAGACCCTCAGATTATCTCCTTTAATGGATCACCTTGGGAGAGTACAAAGTGGGGATGAGAAATTACTTTTTACTCAGGAGGAATTAGAACCAGTAAGGATCAGAACTGGACATCCCAGATACAGCTCAGAGACTATGCAAAAACTTTGTTAGGGAGCACAAAGAAAAGTTGTGAGACTCACGACTTAAGTTAAGTTTACCGGAGCTGACAAAGTCTGGGGTCAAATTGTGGCATAATCTTGTGTGGAATGAGCACGAGTGGCGGTGCTGAAACGTCGAGGGAGAATTTATTATTTGACTGACTTGGAGGGCAGGTGGCTGAAAAGGCACAGGCATGGCTGTTTGCGATGTTTTTCGCCTGTTTGCGATGGGTTTAGAGACGGCTCCTGAGTGAAAGAGGGCATCGCCTTTTCAGCCGAGTCACAGCTCCTGGATTTCAAAATCAATGTGGTTCGCAGAAACAACAACAAAAACAACAACAACAACAAGCGCTCCGCGGCACAGTGACTGCACGGCCTCTCCCCCCGAGTCAGGCTGGGACCCAAGAGGCGCGCGGGAGGCCGGTCTGCGAGGTCAAAGGCTACGCACCGTGCACGATGAGCTCAAAGTTGCAGCTGTCAAACTTGTCCCTGGACGAGACTTCGCATCGATACCCCCCGGCGTAGTTGGCCTTGGCCCCGATGATGTGCATCTCGAAGGTGTACACCTGAGGGACAGCGCCACAGTGAGCCACACCATCCTGCCTGTAACACGGCTACGCCTTCCCAGCACAGCGCGAGGCTGCGGTAAACCCTCAATACTCCACCCTCCATCCTATGTCTCTGATCACCCGCTGCAATGCGGGGCTGCACTGAGTCTCTGCCTGCCCGGCACACAATGGGCAGACAGTGGGGGAACTCAGTGGACAGGACACAAGTCCATTGCAGCACCCATTCAATCAGTACATTCCCTCCCACGTGCACGCAGGGGGACAATTCAGAGATGCCAATCAAGCCAGTCTATGGGAGGTGGTAAGAAACTGATGTAGCCATAGGAGGACTATGCAGACTCCACACAGAAGGAGCCCCAGTACAGCCCGAATTGATCGCAGGATACCAAGTGCCGTGAGGCAGTAGAGTTACCCACAGTGCCATCACGCTGCCCATCAAGAACAGCAGACCCTCAGATTATCTCCTTTAATGGATCACCTTGGGAGAGTACAAAGTGGGGATGAGAAATTACTTTTTACTCAGGAGGAATTAGAACCAGTAAGGATCAGAACTGGACATCCCAGATACAGCTCAGAGACCATGCAAACCCACTTAAGCGTTAGGGAATACAAAAAAGGTTGTGAGACTAACGGCTTAAATGATGTTTACCAGAGCTGACAAAGCCGAGCTTTGTATATAACGTTAAAAAAAAAAAATTGAAAGCAATGAAGCTGTGATTTCAAACCCCCATCAGCACTTGTGCCAGCTGGGAAGACTCATTTGATAAGCAGATGTTCAAAGGGACGGCACCACGCTCTGCCCCGCAGAATAGTGGGGATGTGGGACGCAGCAGAAACAGCCCTGACCTTCAAGTTCCTGTCGTAGACCTCCTTCAGCTGCAGGTGTTTGCCTGCTTTGCTGGCCAAGTCCATCCACTTCCCTTTAAACCACTTCACGGTGGGCTTCTTCAGCAGGTTGGCGGAGCCCACTTTGGCAGTGAACGTGATATTCTCACCTGTGCGCGCAGGTAACACAAGGCGTTAAAACAGGTCAGTTCCTTGATCGTCCTGAACATTTCATTTTAGTGTATGTGTTTGTGCTTAACAGAGTGTTTTGCTTTTAAGAGTTATCTGTCTCTACAGCAAACTGAAATGGTTGCACTGTGATGACTAAACGTGATCTTCGCTGAAGGGAATGGAAGTCCTGCATTCAATCACTTCCAGCAAAATATCTAGGTTTTTGTTAAGTCAACTGTCACTTTGGATCTGAGGACGAGCATTCGATTGTTCAATTAACACATTCATTGTGTTAATTTAGGCTTAACTGGGGCATTTTAATCAGGCCTAACCTGTCCAAACTTTGTAATTGTTCTCAACTGTAAAGCATTTCAGCATAAAGCATAGAAGCAATTCAGTTAATGTATTCACTTATGTAAATAAGACAATATAAGATTAGATAAGATAATATAAATAAATCATTACAGAAGTACAAAAATGAGAAAGACCCTTTGATGATGCACTTGTACTGTCCCTGGCCATGAGTTAACCTGTAAGACATTTGGACAAGTTGAGCAGTTTTTCTCTTTGTAGGGTATGTTGCTCTAGAGTTTCACTAATTCAATTGCGAATGACCAATTGGCGGGTTTTGCATCCAACTCAAAGTACATTTTCCTTGATTTTCTTTTGGCTCGTAATGGGATGAAAATCGAACCAAGTCACAGGTCTGCTGGCGAAGACAGGGTCAGGCCAAACGAAGAACTACTTGTCCGGTTTATCCCCACCACTTCCTCGGAAAGCCAATGAAAATTCACCTGTCGCAGTCCGTGGGCTCCCCGATCGTTAACAGAAACTAACACAAAGATGTTTTCCGATTTGAAAATTAATCTCTTTTTAAGGACCTTTCAATTGGAATGAACGGAGAGTGTTTTTTTTCTCTCTCTCTTTCATTTCCTTGTGGCTGAAACAAAGCCTGGAAAAGAGATGACTAAGCCTTTCAGTTCTTTAAACTAAAAAAAAACCTGGCTCCCAGCAGGACAAGATGCACTTGATCAGTAGACAAAAATGAAGGGGCTGTCTCTAAATCACCGTCTTCCCCTCAGAACAGCAAGGATGATGTGCCTGGCTCTGCAGCTGAGGCTTCAGAGATGATCTTTCACTTACATTCTCTTTCTTGCCCCAGTTACTCAAAATATCCATTTGATGGATTTTCTGGAGAAAAACAAATAATTGGCTAAATGTACTCTAGGAATACCCAAGAATGGACTGGCATTGAGGCCCTGATGTGAAAATGAGGAGCAAATGTCTCTCTGATCAGGTCCCCTTTTTGTAACCGTGCTGATAGCGCTGTTATTTTTTTGCATGTGCACATCAGGGTCCAGGAGTCCCCTCTGAGCATATGAGATAGATCGTGGCTCTTTGCTCAGTTCTTCACTCCTCTGGGGAGCTCAGTGAGCCTTTCTGTTGCTCTGTTCATGCCCAAAGCTGCCCAGTATGTAAACGGGGCTGGATTTTGGTGCTCATAGGCCCTACGCACTTTCAGTCCGAAATGTGCAAAAAGAGAGGTAAACGCCAATTGAATGACATCGACGGACATAATGCACTTTAAACTATTCTAATGCTAAACCACATGATTGACGGAGCGAGTCAAGCGACCATCACTTTGATACTTCTAGTTTCTAGAACAGCTGCTAGATAACGTAGGATTATTGATCTGGAGCACTTAGAGTCGATCGCAAGCACGTTGTTTCAGCACGTTTTTTCGTTAATCACTAGTGTTTCCCTCCTTCGTAGGCGGGATCCTAATGGGAAATCCGGCACTGTCTGTCAAGCCAGATGGGCACTTGGTCCTTACCCACAGTCACCTCTCCACTCTGGGGCTTCTCAAGAAAGAGGCCGGTCAGATCCTGCCTTGTGTCAGGCTGCTGACTGTCCGGAAGAACTGAAGAGAGATCCAGAAAAGAGCAGAGGAGGATTACTGACAGCTGACCGGGGCAGAATGAAAACACAAGGCCAGTCCAGCTTTTTTTACAATGTTCCCCCAAGTTACTGACTCTTCTCCTGAACATCCTTCCCTTGAGAAGCTAGGGTTTCTATCACATCCACAGCTCTAAAGCGGTAGAGAAAAAGATATCTTTAAGAGATGAGTTTTGCTTTCCCTTATATGACCCGAGAATGAGGACAACCTAAGTCTTGAATTATGTCTTTTACTTAAAAGGAAGATGCGGCTCAGTAAACAGGAGCAACTGTTTTTTTATTTGCTAACAGTAGGATGGTATAAGTGAAAGGGTTTCAGGGTGAAAAGCACGGTTTCTTAGCACTCCCTCTCCTTTCAAAGCCTTGTTTGACCTAAAATGTGCCTCCTGGAGGCTGGTCCTCACCCCACTTGTGCTCAACCTTTGACTCTGGCAGACTCTTGTGGAGAGCTTCTGACACACTGTACTAAATCAGTCCGGGGCGACATCATGGAACAAGCTGTCAATTGATGTCTTTTTGACTGCGCGCTGACAAACAGCAAACAGCTGCCCTAATCTAAACGAAAGGCTTCCAAGAAGATTTTAATGGAGCTGGGTACAGCAATCCTACGCCTAAATGGGCACACGCATCATGTTTTCTGTCTGATTTCCACATGCCAGTTTCATAGCTGTATGATAACTAAGGCAGCTTCACTGACAGTGAGGGTCTGGGACCTTGATCTTTATTTGAATAACAGAGATCACTCCGGCTACCGAACAACTTCACCAAAAAAAAGGCAAAGCATCAAAAACATACTAAATTAGGGGGAAAATGAACTTCTCTGTGGAAGTCAGGGTGAGGCAGTGCCTTGATGAGTTGTTAAAGATCTCCGGGCGCTGTTTGTAAGAGTTAGGGTGTTTACCCCTCTTGTCCTGGTTACATTCATCTCTGGGCTTGCTCAGTCTGGCCTCCCTCTTGAAGTTCCCCCTAAATTGAAGGGCTGAAGCAGATTCTTTTCCCCTCATCTGAGGTGCAGTGGGGCTGCTGCAAGTCTCCCAGACCAGGGTGCCGCACCTCAGTGTCTGCCTTCCTGTGTGTAATGTGTTTTGGGGGGTCCTTTCAGATGCATCACCTCTACATGGGTGTCAGGAATAATGAGAAACCCCCGATTCCCCCTCTTCCTTCCTCACCTTCGGGCTCGCTGCCCTCTTGGGCCGGGTGTTCTGGAGCAGGTGGAGAGATGGCGGCGCCCTCATCCGCTTTCTCTGAGAAAGAGCAGAGCATGCATGCAGCGTCACATCATTTGCATTGTCTGCAGACAAGGAAGGTTTTAGGGATTCAAAACAGAACTGGCCTCTTCTATTCACTGTTCTGCAAATAACGGCTTTAAGATTTTGTTAACCCTGCACAGCTTTTGGGATAGCGATCAACAGTCCACAGAAATATCTGCTGACATGTACTACCCAGATAATATATATATAATATTGGATATCATGCTCTATTTTTAAGACAACAGAAAACCACACTGAAAATGCCTTTATAATTATCAGCGCAGCTCGGCAGCAGTGACACAGATGGAAATGAATTTTGCAATCCGAGTCAAGGTCATTAGAACGGATTGATATGAGACTTTGCGCAACTGAATTTTCTGCCAGGAACCCGCCCCCCTGTAAAGGATCGTGAAATAAATTCCCCAATATCATCAGACCTGACACATCAGATGACCTGTCATCAAAGTGCTTTCTCAACATTAACTGTCTCAGATCAATCCAAAAATTCAGGAACGGCAACAAAGATTGACTTTTGAATGATTCTTCATATCACCATCATGTTAAAATGGTTTTCAAAATAATTTAGACATTACCAAATAATTAAGATGGACTATTCCAACAATCTCCGGGTCAGGTCCATCTGAACTGTGGATTTTTTAAAAGATTTATTTATAGGCTGTCAGCAAATCAAAATGTGTGTCATGCAAAACCGAGCCAGAACTTTCGTCGGGATTTCGGATGACGACTCACCTTGATCCTTCACCTTGAGTTCAAATTTAACCTTTGAACTCCCAGCAATCACTGCGTAAACGAGTTCATCTTCCTTGGTGACGTTCTTAACGGTGAGGGAATGCTTGTTCCCGTCCGCGGTGATGACGTATTTGTCGTTTTCGACAATGTCAACGGAGTTTTTCTGCCATTTCACCTTCGTTTCCTTCTTCTCCGTCTCTGCTTCGAAAACCACTGATCCGCCCACCACTGCCTCCGCGCCCTTGGGCTTCTTCGTGAGCGCAGAAGCTAAAACAGTGGATAAAGGCGAGAAAAATGTGCCGGCTTCCTTCTGATATCGTCTGAATTTACAATCCATTCCCATCTTTCTCTGGCTCTGCAGCCAAACCCTTATTTATCAAAGGAGGGCTTTTCTTTCTAGTGAAGACGATGCACTCATGGCCTCACCAAAACTTCAGACATCCTTTTCTGTATCTGCTTTTAAAAGGATCAGAGAATCTTATCAAATCAGATACCTCTTCAACAAGACGCAATGAAAGTTTTGTACCCATCCATAGGCCCTGGAGAGTGTGCTCCAGGATTACAGAGTTTTACTGAAACTCCCAAAAAAAACACAAGGATCCCACAAAGTAGGTTAAATCTGACCCTGCTGGTTCATAACTGGATTTTTATTTCATACAACATACTACCCCCAGAAAACACCTGGGGCTCTGTATTCAAACACTTAAAGAGGTATGTTTATGTCTTATGCACATGGGTGTTTGTAATTCATGGACCTTGGTCGGACGATTTGCATTAGATCAGCTGGAGAGCAAGAAGGGATCTCTGTGGATCTCTGCAGGCATCAACAGCACGACAGGTGTGTGCTCCTTGGTGCACATGTCAGGTCATGACACCATCTCCACAGACTGTCAGCCACCTGACTGAAACTCATTGAAATCTTTCAGTGTAAACCACACATTCACTTGCAGCTGAACATGCCATCTGTGCATTTCTGCTGACACTACGACTCCAGAATTCACAAAAAGACTACAAATACCTATCTACTGATATAAAGATAAGTTTGTCGCAAATCGAATGCACAATAAGTATATTGAACTACATCTCCTCTGAGCCATCAGTTCATTGTTCACATAGTTTAATCAAACACTGCAAAAAGTATATTCCGTATTCTCCCTTTTAACAGGAAATCTATGAATCGCCTAACTGTGGGTCTGATGCTATTCCCCAACTCCAGCAGTATTAAGACTGGCCTCACCTCATTATCAAAGTGTAGCCCTAATTCTCTGTCCCTGGTGGGAACTTGAGTCCATGTTTTTCTCCCTGATTCCAACCCGTTGCAATAAACAGGCTGATGATTCTGACAATGATTGAAGAGGCTTCACACAAACAGAACTGTCTTCATTTCAGAAATCCAACTGAAGATTACGTCAGCCACACTGAAGCACATAGTGTTCTAGAGGAAATTCTGCCATACTGTACATTCAAGTGATTTTTTCCCCACTGTGACCTTCCTATTTAGACACCATGCCCTCCACATATGTCTTCTGTTATTAACAACTGTACAGTGTACAGTGTGTATTTAAATGGAAGATGACAAAGCACACTGTCATTTGAAAAGCACAAGTGCATATAATAGCCGTCTGCACTCGAGATGGTCTGTCTTTTGATTCACAATCCAAACAGGATTCAAATCCCGTACCTTAAATCTAAGGCTGAATCTCGAAACTGATGGGTTCTCTTTTCAAGCAGAGCTACACATTATATTCTGTAAATGACTTCTAGACCCAGTGTTTATCACCTCTAGTTAAAGAAGCAAAGGTTTTAATGTTTATCCGCTCTGGCAACAGAAGATGTTCCTAGACAGGTGCTCTGTATCACTTTCTTATATTAGAGGTGTTTCCAAATAAATATATGGTTTCACTAAATAAAGACAACATATTTCTTCCCTTGAGTTGGTGCAGCAGAGTTTTATGCAGCATCTGACTGCAATTAAATCTCTGTTGGAAACAGCATGAATGAGCTTCTGTGGGTCACCCAGATCCTACAGCTTATGTTGGAACATTTTGAAAGATCACATGCAATGATTTTGCGGCGTGCTCCAAATGGCACGGGTCTTAACACTCCACTCTAAATGCTGTGTTGGCAAACGAACTGCATCTCTCCAGCTGAATAAAGGTTTACTGTGTTTCTGAGGAAGGACTAAGGGCTTTTGCGTACACAATGCTAAAGCTTGGAAACGCTCATTATTTTGCTGGAATGCCATTCAGTGTACAGTGAACATTTATGGAAAGATTTTTTGATGATGTAAGTGATGTTCAACTTGCGCAAATAAGACTAAACCTTTGCTGTTTTACAATATTACAATAGCAACCATAAGAACCATTTATTTTAGAGCCAGTGGGGCATTTATTTTTAGCAAAATGTCTTGTTCAGGGGTACAATGGCTGTGTCTCACCTGAGATTTGAACCCGCAACCTTGTGATCTGGAATTAACTGCCCTAACCACAGCTCTGCACTGCCACATTCTAACAATTGACCTGTACCTGGCTCTACTGCTGGTTCCTGAGAGCTCCGTCTCCTTGGGCTTCATGGCAGCTTTCAATCAGTGGGTAAAGACAACATCCGCTCTCTATTTAAAAGCTAATGTTTTACCACTGTCCGTCCACCCAGTTCTCAATCAGCTCTGCTCTGCGGCTGCAGTTCCTCTACTGCTTGGAGCGCACGCGAATGCATCACTGCCACCTGCGTCACGCCCACCGCAGCCCCCCATAGGGTAGTTAGTGCCAACAGAGGAGAGGGGCATCTGGCAGGTCCCAGGTGTCACTGGTTCCCCCCATCCAGCCCTGATAGCCCTCCACCAATGACACGCTTCCACTCTCAGCATCCTGGTCACAATCAGCCAATAGCGTGTCGTCTAGACCGCGTCAGTCCTGTCAATTTCTAATTCACATTGGCTGATTCCAGCAAATTAAGAAAATCAAAGGCACAGTGGCTCTGCGAGACCAGAGCTGTAGGTCCCTGTCCTGCCCAACTAATACAACCTGTCATACCTTTCCTGTTCAATGGTTAGATTATCCAGTCCTAGTGCCTTGCTGTGCATTGTGGGAGGAGAACATCGGCATTTCAAAGGATCCAGAATGCATTGCTTTTCTTGACCGATGGTGCAAGACAGTCTGTCAATCCTGATGGCTCCCCCCTCCTCCTCCCTCATCCTGGAAAGCGTTTCAGCCCCGACGCTTCCTTAACTGCTTATCGAGTCTACCGGCCCCCATGGTACTCACGACATGGAACAATGATGTCATCCTCATCTGTAATGCCCCCCGCTGCCCTGTGTCAAGAATGTGTGACCTTTTGCGCGCAGAGCAAGCGGGGTGGAGGAACAGCATGGGGGAGATTGTTCTCCTTAAAATGCCTCATGTTTCCAAGAGTGGCAAAAAATAACTGGCTTTCAAGCTGGAAACACTTATGTCCTGGAGTGATGTGTCCCAGTGACACTAACAGCTGATGAAAAGTCGGAAATAGTTGGGTTGGACTGAAAGATAGCCCATATGTCTGTGCTCTCAAAAAACAAACTATTCTAGGACATAACAGGAAGAGTAGTGTGAAAATAAAATAACAATGATAATAATGGGCAACATTCAATACTTTTTAAATCATGGATTATGTATTTTTATTGCAGTATTTATTATTGTACCATTTGTATTTCTATTCATTTTTGGAGTTTGAATGTCATAAACATCTTTTTAATCAGTTCTGAACAACATACAGAAATTCTGCTCACAGTCCACTTATGATTATATCATTTTAATTCTGCCCCATAGTTAATGGGAAAATTGATAATTAATTATCAGACACGACTCAATAATTGGTTCACTGTTAAAGTGAAGTGTTCGATTCTGT